CTGCCTGCTGCTACGACTGTTTACGACCCGAGCTGCTACACGACTTCTCTTCCTGCTTCCTGCTACCTGCAATACACCATGGGCAACGGCTCGGCGGCCGTGCTGGAGCCCACGTACACTGGCTACGTGGCTTCGACTCACGATGCCCTCATCCTCTTCGAGGCCTGTCTTACCGGGGTGCTGCACCACGTCCCCCGTCGTCCGCACGACCGCGAACGCGCCCAGCTGGTCCGCTCGGGCAGCGTCTTCATCTACGAGGAGAACGCCTCGGGCATCAAGCGCTGGACCGACGGCGTCACCTGGTCGCCCAGCCGTATCCTGGGGAACTTCCTCGTCTACCGCGAGCTCGACAAGCCCTTCCCTCCCGGCGAGAAGAAGCGCGCCGTCAAGAAGGGCAGCAGACGGCCAACCCAGTCTGCCCGGGCAGGAGAGCCATACCCTCGCCTGCAGGACAATGGAGCTGGCGCCAACGGGGCCGTCGCGGCGGGTGCGTACTCGCCCGGTGCTCCCTCGCCCGCCACCGCTGGCGCCGGGGTGGGAACGGGGTTCGCTGAGCGAGGACAGCAGTCCGAGCTCGAACGCGCCCTCGTCGGCTCCCTGGTCGACTCGTACGGCTTCAAGGACTCCGGCCTGGTCAAGAAGACGATGAGCGTCACCGTCTCGGGCGTGACGCACCACCTGGTCTCCTACTACAGCGTCGACGACGTGATGCGCGGCGCCCTCAGCCCGCCCAGCATGGTCGAGTCGCTGCGCTACATCCGCCCCCGCCAGGAACTCACCACGAAACAGAGCTTCCGCGCCCCCATCGAGGATCCCGATCAGCCCAGCCTCGACGACGGTGATCCCTCGCAGTCACTCTACGGCTACCGCCCCAATCCGGCCGCCGCCATGGTGCCCCAGTACGGCATGCCTCCCCAGAGCACCGGCTACTATGCCATGCCGCCCCAGCCTCCCTACGCGACGCACTCCTCCCACCAGCCGCACCAGCAGGCCCAGCATCACCAGCAGCACCAGCAGCAGCCCCCACCCCCTCCGTCCGTGCCCGGCTACGGCGTCGCGCCACCCCAGCAGAATCCTTACCTCCAGAGCCCGGCCGCGGCCACCTCTGACCTGCCCCCGAAGACGGAGGAGTACGGTGCCTACCGTGGCCCGGCCAGCTACCCCACGGCCTTCCCCCCTTCGTCTGCCGCTCCTCCGCCTTCTCACCTCTACCGCACGCCCAGCATACCCACCAGGCCGTCCGCGTCAGACATACCCACCACCATCGATCCTGCCGGATCCCCCAGCACCAGTGCCTACTCCAGAGCCAGCTTCAGCCTGCCCGGCGCCATGGACTCCAAACCGCCCCCTCAGCAGCAGACCCAGCAGACCCAGCAGCAGCAGCAGCAGCAGCAGCAGCAAACGCTCGACCAACGATCCACCTACCCTGGCCCCGCGCCCACCAGACGCGAGTCCGGATACTACGATCAAGCTCAGGCCCAGGCCCAGGCCCAGGCCGCTCACCAGCGTCGCACCTCCATCCAGCAGCAGGCCCCGCAACAACCTCAGCCCACGCAGCAGCCATACTACTCCAACACCGCCGCCACAGGCCAGAGTTCCTATCAGGGCGCTCCTCCCATGTCGACCTGGGGGGCCACCCACGGTCAAGCCATATAGATGGATCCTCTTGAGTAACACTGCCAACGTCAACACATGAACGCATGTAATAAAACAAGGGAACCCCAGACGAGCAACTCGAGCAGAAAAAAAAAATATAACAATTTGAACTTAACAACCTGAACCCAAACACAAAACCGAAAAAAAAAAACCCGCACTCAAAAAGCAGATGCCGTACGAAGATCGAATGAAAAACCCCCCGAACCGAAGATTTAATAGGAATGATGGAGCAAAAAAAAAAAAGAAGCAAAAAAATTATATTCTCCCTTTGACCTACGCGCATCACAACAACAACAGCAGCAGCACATGCATGTACGCACGTTTGTTCGCACGCCCTGGCTTTTCGCTCTACCTGCACATAACAACGAACATGCACACAAATGATGAACGAGTTTTGTTTTTTTTTTTTTCTTCTGCTTCTTATCTCTGATGTTTTTATTTCTTTCCTCTCCACACACATCCCCCCGTTTCTATTTCCCCCCTTTGGATCGTTGATGTTGATTTCTCCCTTTTTTTTTTGTCGTTTGCTCTTGTTTTCCTTTCCAGCCTTGAGTGGTATAACTCTCTAGCAGTGCACATTACCTTAACCGTACTTACTCGACATTCCTATTAATACGTTGAACTCGAGCTCGTTCTTTTCCGTTCCCTTCTTCCTCCATCTTCTTCTACTTCTCCCTTTTCCTTCCCTTCTTTACGTAGGTGGCGGTGGCGTGGCAAATGGCGTGGCATTCTTTTAAAAAACAAATTTCACAAATCCCCCCCTTCATTTGGACGGACGGACGGACAGACAGACTGGCAGACTGGCAGACGAACCGCCCATGCACGCATACATACATACATACGACCCAGGCACATCGTCGGCACGATAGGAAGAAACGCAGAGACGAAACGAGATAGACTGCTGATCTGGGGGTGATCAACTCGGTGGCGGTGGAAGACTGCAATGCAACTATAGCGCTCAGTTCTTCTTATGCTTTTTTTTTTTTCTCCAGTCTTTCTTGCAGTTGAAACTACATGTTACTATGTATATGCTTCTCCCGTCTTGTCTGTCCTCGCCCTTTTGATTTGCTGCTTGCTTTTTCCTGAATTGACTTTCCTGAGTTTGATGCTGTATTTAGTCTTTCCTTTCTTGCTGGAAATAGTTTGGTCAATGAACATATATGCCCTTGATCTTCGTTCAATCCTATCATCTTGTGCGCATCGACATGATCTATCTTTCGTCCTGTGTACGTTCTATTTATATTAATGTTTATTGAAGTCTGATAAAAAAAAGAGTGGGGGTGCTGCTGACTCAGCGTATACCCCCACCTACTAAGCAGATGCTTATATAATCGTCTCGCGTGCCTCGCGCTTGTACCAGCCAATCACACGCCTCGCCTTACTTTTCG